CTTCCAACCATTGCAGAACTGTGCTACTGTAGGTGGCAAGTTGTAATGAAAGTCTGAGGTGTCCATGGTGTACTCACCAAAATTGAGGCACCATCTTCAACCATCTGTAGCATACAGCAAGCCACATTATTTGTTATATAATTCCATAAAAATGCTCTCAAAGGCACCAAACGCACAAATATAATCAAAAGCCCCAGCTCAGCGACTCCGATTAGTGGCAGTCAACCTTAGCAGACGGTTATCAGCTACACTAGCCTGCTGGTGCACCCGTCAATCAAAATGGCTAGGTTTCATTTTTCAGCCCCAGAAGGTGCCACTTGATTTGGCCAAGATATACTTTTTTCTTCCTTTTTTGGTGACAGGGTTATTGATAGGTTTGTAACATAAACCTATTCACTGGAATGTTCAAGACAATTCAATTGCACAGCAAAGCAAGACACGAGTAGGCAAAGTTCTTTATGCTGCTCTCGTCGGCTCCCCCCGTAACACTGCTCTTTATTGAGGTTACATGAGTATGTATAGGTTCATTAACACATGATGTCTTACATAGGTATACATGGGGACAAAGAATACCTTGTCTGTGTGTCGTGTAGGGGTGTGTGTGTGTGTGTGTGTGTGTGACCCTGTGAAGAGTCCCCAAAGCTGGTGCCCGGAGTCTAGCGGTCCATCTGAACAAAAGGCTCTTATACTTAACCAGATACAGTGTAGGTGTCCTCCTATACCATAAATCAGTAAGAGCAGATATAACCTTTCTCCTGACCTTAAGTTGTGTGTGCATGCCAGAGTGCTCTGGGAGGCACACAGAGTCTCCACAGACTACTACGGCTCAAACCTCTATCAATCTACAACTAATTATAAAACTCTAAGCATATATGAGTAAATATTTCCAAGCATAAATGACAATCCACTATATAAACCTGACAGTTATCAATACACAAAATGATCCAATATTGTCTGCAAGGCTATTTCAAAAGGGAAACTCACCAAGCAATAAAAAGAGAAATACTCTAAGCTACAAAACAAACAGTTTTTCCATTTAAACTTCAGTAAACCAGAGTCACCATCTATGTCCTTGAAGTCATCCAAAAACTCACTAAGTCCTTGTTTCAATACTTTTAATCACTCGATAGCCATGGAAACATGTTGATACTTCCTGAAAACACTTGGCATGTTAATTGATTATTAGTAAAAGACTATAAACAACCTTCAACTCAAATAGCTCTAACTACAACCAGTCCACAAAGAGCTACATTTCTCTTAATCTATATAATTTATAAAGATCAAATCAATATTCCCTTAGCTATTATCAAAATTCAGATTATGGAATAGGAAGTGTGTGGAGGCTGAGAGGTAGGTGCACTATGGAAAGAGCTGATTGACTTTTAACATATCAATTAGACTGGAATAATGTGACAGAATGACTATTTCCATTCACCCAATGAGTTCCAGAACACTGATTGGCTAACATTATTGATATTCTGTCTTATTTACCATTGTTGCACTGAAGTTTTTGTATAGATTTCTAATTCGTGTAGTGATTAACACCTATTACATCTTGTCGCATGCTGCAAGAAGGGCAGGATGAAGAGTCTCCTAATTTAATTGTCTAACACAGTGATTTTTATAATATTAGCTGCTGTTGAGGAACTACTGGAGTTAAGTGATGAGGGGGACTTAACGATCACACTACACACTATGCTCAGGTCCAACTGAGTCACAATTGGCCCACCTCTTTGATTGCCATGCTTAATCATGCCTGAGCGTGGAACACAGCAACACTCCTCAAACAAATTGGACATTGGGGTTCAAATGTGCTTGGGGGCAATCATCTTTCTGCCCACTTTCTTAAAGCCAATCAGCCTCCACTCTAGGTTCTTTAAATTGCACTGCTCATATTTCATTCTTCCTTGTGGACTCAACCATGCGACCCACCTTGTCTCCATCCCCAACTAATGCAAGTCACTCATCCAGCCCTAATTCCTGTCACTGCTATGATGTGCCATTGGAATCTAATCGCCAAATAGCATAATTGAATTCAGTATATCAATAAATCATGTTAAATTCCCTCTAATGATCTCTTCTTATTGAAATACAGTAGGAGGTTAAAGAGTTTAAGTTAATGAGCAGTGGTTGCTGGTTAAAATTTTCCATGTTTTACAGTGACTGTAACTCAACACCGATTCAAATCAGTGAAGAATATCAGCAGTTTGCATGCTGCACAACACACAACCCTGCTTTATTTGTCCATTAGTGTAGGTGCCGAATACGGTCTAAAACTAGTGTTGTCAAACTATAGGCTCACCATAATGCTCCCTGGCAGCGAAACACAATTTACAGTCTCCCTTTGTTTCCGGCTGACCCTCCTTGTCCTTCACAGTGCCCTGAGATTCTAAACCTATAAAACAGGTCTTATTTTCCTCAGCTAGTGACGTAACTTGTTGGAATATTTTACACAGATTATGTGGCAGGTATCGGTCAGAAGGAGTTTGTTAGTGTATGGCTCTAACCTCATCTAAAGGTATCATTGAGTCCATGACAGCTGTCTACAGTTACCAAGAAGTAAGGTAGAAACTGAGAAAATTATGGGGAGAACAAAAATATGAAACTGACAAAAGATTCAATGTCAGACTGATGAGTAAGGAAGAAACTTAAAAAAAAGCAGAAGGGAAAAGCTTTGAACCCTTAAAAGTCACAAAGGAAAGGCTCGACTTTACAAGAAAAATAAACAATATCAAAGCAGTTTTCACTCTTGATCATTCAAATGTCTGTAGTCTAATTATAGATGTAGAGCATATCAGATGTAGCAATTTACACACATTTTTTCCACATCATTTTCTTTTGTAATGTCAATAAAAAACATGTGGCAGATCCAGACCTTCTTTTGTTAGTCAGACTGGGCAGATGGCGTGAGTAGATGAATGAATGACACAGTGTTCAGAAACTGACTCACTTCAGTTATTTTTTTTTTTTTTTTAAGCAAACTGTTCTGATATTCTCCATGTTTAATACTACATCCTACAGACTGGTTAAACTGAAAGACTTAACCTATTTGATAAAACAGACAACTGCATAGTTTGTAATTCCCTGATTTAAATCTGCCTCTTTTTTTAGTTGCACCATACCATTTCTGTATTAGGTACTAATATAGGAGAGTGCATTTACAGAAGACTCATTTAATGAAATCAATCTGTTGTTTTGCCCAGTGCCACATGCAGAGCTGACTGCGTTCTGTGTATATTTGACCCTGTTATAATTTGTATACATACAGTACATGATATTTATTCCAAGCCTCTATTAGCATCTAGAAGTAGTTTCGATTCAAATTTAGGCCTTTTGAATATAGGAAGTAAAATAAAAATATGGAAGAAATGACAGGAGGGAGGCTGGGAGCAGAAAAAATAATTAGGGGGTGAGGAAGGGAAGAATAAAACCAATCAGGGAATCAAGGAATAAGAGAACTAAAGGAAGTAGAGCTTGATAAAACAGAATCAAGCAGAGAAGGCCGAAAGAAGAAAGAACAAGGCAGGGGAGGGAAATTCAAGGAAAAGAAAGAAGGAGGGAGAAAGAAGGCTAGATATAAACTGAGGGGCTGAGGAGGGATGATCAGGTATTGTGTGATACTGTATCCTTGTCTGTTCTTACTAATGACTGGCTAAAATCCCACAATATAATTGGGAATAAAATGGGAATAAAAACGTTTGACTTCCACACATTGAGTGCATTAGTTTATCATCCTGACATTTAACAGTTTCTTGGTTAATAATGCAGCTGTGAGATCAGCCTGAGGACTATAAGTTAACTAATAAGTGCACAACTAATGCCACTGTGTGGTCGACATGAAACCTTAGTGCTTGCTTGTTTTCAACACTTTTGGGGCATGATTATAATAAATAGATGAGCATGATGAACTAATCTTATTTCACTTCAATCCACCCTTAAGACCCTGGCAAAAACACCATGTTAATTTGAAGTGGATAGATTCATACATTGCTGCTTAGGGATATCAAATCCCTTCCCCCATGGGAATCGGTTAGAGGAAGCAATGTTAGATTGAGATGAAGTGAAGGCTTTGAAAACTTAGTAGTAAGTAAAGTTTTTGTACTATATTTAACCTTAAAGCAACCTTTGTAGGTGTAGCTCACTTACAACATTGAACTGCTAAATAGACACAGTAAACAAGATCCTGTCAGGATGTCTTTGCAGGAATGACACTTTAAAAGCTTTTTGAAACTGGCGTCGTCATTCCCAGAAAACAGCTGGATATCATCTTTATTTCCATAGCTGTAGCTAAATAACCTGCGACACAGCTTTGCTGGAGTTACTGTGGCTGGCAGCATTCAATTAAAATGCCTCTGTCTTCTTATGCAATTAACCCAGTTCCTTGGTGAGGCAGGGATCTATGGGGAAGCAATTAAAATCCAAATTCTTCCCAGTATGTGGACTTCATAGGGAAAAAAATCCTTGGACAGCCTAATGTTTGTTTGGTGTGTTGACTTGTGGTTTTCTTTAGATATAAGAAATGTTAAGGGGGGATAAAGGACAGAAGGAAGGACAGCAGAAGCAAAATGAAAAAGAAAGCGGGGATTAAAATAAATGAGAGAGGAAGGAGGGGATAAAATTCAGAGCCAAGCAGAGATGAGTAAGGAAGTAAGAAATGAAGAGAGAAAAAAGAAAGAGGGAAGTAAGACTTGCAAGATCAAGAAAAGGAAGGAAGGAAGAGTGTGTGTGTGTGTGTGTGTGTCGGGGGGGGGGGGGGGGGGGGGGGTAAAAAGGGGCAACCAAAAGATGGAAGCTTACGTGAGAAGGATTAAAAAAAAAAAACTGGTGAAAGAATGCAAGGATGAACTGAACTGTCAATAAATACCGATATAAAACTCTATTATTTATCTATTAAGCTTATGATTATAGTCAAGCAGCAACAGAAAGGAAGACTGTCCTTCTGTTTATTTGCTCTCAAGTCAGACTCTGTGAGTTCGTGTGTGAACGCACTATGCACTGACCTTGAATTCCTCCCGCGGGCAACAAACAATCCAAAGTTGTTCTCTTCCTCCCACGGATGAATGTTGCAAGGTGACATTTGTGTGTGTGCTTGTCTGTGTGTGTGTGTGTGTGTCTGTGTGTGTGTGCGTGCGCGTGTGTGTCCTCCACCTCATCCGTTCACTTTTTCACCTGAAGGAAAACAATGCGGAGAGACAGGGAGCAGGATGGGATGAGAAATGGCACTGATCTTGGACATTTGTGTGGCTTCTAATCCTGTTTATTTAGAAGAAGAGAGACGAGTGGCCCTAGAAACCTATAGCCGAGGTCTGGAGTTTGCTCTGTTGTTTTGGGGGCCAGCATAATTTTGAAACCTGCCTCTATATTTGCTGCTTGTTTCTGGATTTATTATATCTAGTAAGATACATGACAAGATTTCTTTATGACTGGTGTTTTGTTTTTAGACAATTTATTTCTTACATTTTAGGGGGGAAATGCATAAAATAAGCATAGCGTCATCACAATTTTAAAAATCAATGTTCCCAACACAACTGCTGCGATCATGAGGCTCACCTTTCTAATCTTTAAAGAGTGGCTCTAATAATGATCAGATCAGGATCTAAGCACACACGGTCTATCAAAATTAATTCATAAGAAAATCAGATACCTGTAAAATGTGAACTGTGTTTAAACTACCTCTTTAAGTTTTATTAAGACATTGACCTAAGACTGGACCTCTCTACCATCTTTGCATAGTGGCTGCCTTAAAGTGTTTTTACTTGAGCTATCAATTAAAAACAGTTCAACTGGTCTAATAATAAGGTTTGTTGTGGATTACTCAAAAAGTAATGCATTCCACATTATCCATTCCTTTTTTTAAATTTATGGGTCATGTTGCTTATTTAGTCTTTGAAGTAATAATACTTGTGTTACTCCACAACACACCCTGAGATGTTACATAATTACCAGTTAAATTTAGACTACTGCTCCAAACACTGGCACAGATCTCTATCCTAATGAGGAAACAAGGTCTTTCTATTAGTGTTTGAGCGCTCTAACACACTGACAGCAAAGTTGGTGAAATCCAGGTCAAGGAACACTTCACAGAAAAGTCTTTCCAGCTGTAGCAACCTTTGACTGCTTGGCTGGGGTCGGCATATACTTGTGTTTTTTACTAGTTTATGCTGGTATTTTGTCGTTGCAGAAACAGAGTGAGATCTGATTTTATGTACGTAGAAGTACAGTTTGGGTTCAGATTGCATTTTACCTTCTTATGCTTTGTAAGCTTGTACATTGCTTTACCATTTTCCCCTTCCTTCACACAAACTTTCCATCTGCAAAGACTGCATATAATTAAAGAACGCGTGTTTTGAAATGCTTTGTTATGCACTGCATTGTTTCTTTGCTGAAAAATGTGAAGTTGTTTTGGTATAGCTTAGATCTTTCTAATGAAGATAGTGTTTACTGATCGCTTATCATTGACTGGAAATCAGTGTGGTTTATTATTTAAAACTCACACACACACACACACACACGTACATTTTAGCTTATCTCTTTTTTTCATTTTACCTGACTACGTCATGCCTGAACTTAGAGTTGCACTGCTGGGTAGTAAGATGTGTGGGTATAGTTTCAATTCCAGGTTCACACCATAGGCACAGTTTTCTTCTAACCTTGAACCTACTGTTGTTCCCTACTGTGTGGCCCCATCATACAGCCTTGGGTCAACATGGTAATAAAGGACGCTTCTTTGCGTCATGCTGACTTTGCAAATCACTTCAACATGTTTTCCAGGCAGGTGCCCGCGGCGTACATCACTCAGCCACCAGCCAGCTTCTCTTGGAGCTAAGTGCTGTGCCAATTATTGCATGACACCACCATCCATATCTGTTCTCATGGAAATTCATAATTTATGACACATCCTCATTTCTGCCTCCAGGGACCTGAATGCTATTATCCTGCCAAAGTGAGATCTGATTGGGCAGCTGCTATCTCAGTTGCTTCTTTGAAGTCTCATTTCTTCAAGTGCCCTTCTAAAGTCACTATAATGTATCATTGTCCAGCAGATATCCAGCGAGCCGCATAAACACCACCTATTGACTCTGAGTGGAAACTGTAAATCTTTGGCTGAAACCTTTAGAGTTGTCGGGTTAATGCTCTAATATTTAAATCCATATCTATCTGAACACAAAAAATCATCCCAGTTGTCAGAAGACACTCCCAAACAGACTGAATAACTACTTCAGTGCATTAATTTTAACATAAACACTCTGCCTGTAGTTAGATATAAAGTTCACAAACATCTAAATGATGAATGCAGTAGAAAATGACTAACACTCAAAACACAAACACAGCCTGTTAGCTTTAAATCATAGTAGGTTTGTTCTGTTTGCCATTTGGTTCATCTTTCTAACATTTCTGTACTGTTAGCTTAACTTTTCCACCTTTAACCTTAGCTTGACTGTTTTAAACCTTAAAACTAACTTTAGCCTAATGGTTTCAACCTAAAAATAATAATATTTATTTCGTTTTTTTTTTTAAAGAAAGAAAAAAAAAACCACCACGAGTTTAAATTTAAACCTCGGTCCATTTTTATGACATGTGCTTATGGGCAGAAATCTGTGCCATCAGAAACTGAATTTGAATAAGTTCAATTTGAATTTGAATTGCTCAGATTGAATCTGAATTGTAACTTGAATAAATGCTTTTGAAAACTGAATTTGAATTAGTCTAATTTGAAATTGAATTTATGGTTTGAAAATGATCATCACTAAATTGAAATTAGTTTCTGTTATTTCTGTTATTTCATTTTCTGTTATTTCTGTTATTATTCTGAAATTAGTTTCTTTTTCTGAAAACAGTTTCTGATGGCACAGATTTCTGCCCATATGTGCTATAGAACATTAGTAACATTTTATGAACTTTTTGTGCGCTACAAGTTTGTAATGATTTACTCCTTTAATAATATTTGGGGGGTCATTTCAAATATTTTATAGAATGGATTTATTGTAAAGTATTCTTCCACTAAATGTGTCACAATTTATTGATTATTTTCAACTTATGGGATGTAGCTTGGCTATTCTTTTATTCTAGTATTATTATTTGCCAAGATTTTATATGAAATAATGTACCATTAGCCCGGCTTTTACACATATCACCCAGTAATGGCTTATATCCTCAGACATATCAACCAAAAACTCTACTTACATTCCTGAGTTATAAATATGTTATTAAAATCTATCATACAGTGATCATTATGCCTCCTGGCTGAATACAGTTTTTTCAGCCGGCACAAAATGAAAGGTTAACAAGGGACGTTACATGTTTCAATACATCCCTGATTAACATGAGTCAGCTAATGAATCATTCCTGCAAACCTTGTAGGTTGAATAGTTTTTGAATGTGCTTTACATTTTCTGCCTTGTAGAATACCAGTGAGTGATATTACCAGAGAATGTCATTAAGAACTCTTTGTTCTTTGGAAAAAGGCAGTGAAAAGATAATAACATTGCAATTTGTTATGAGTTGTCCTTGTGTAATTGTTTCCCTCATGAAAAAAAGACTTCATTGTTGTATGATTCATATAACACCAGTCACATCAAGCTGTCACAGAAGCTGCACAGTCCACCTTTACTCAAGTTTGAAAAACACAAGCAATTTGAATTTAGTTTGTGCTACCTGAGAATCTAACTGACAGTCTTAATCTTGTGCGCTGACACTTATTTAAGAACTTAAGTTTTGCTTTTCCTTGTCTGCCCTTGTTGTTGCTCTATTCAACTGCACACAATAACACCACAATCATCACACATGTCAAACCCAATACTTCACAATAAGTCTCCAATTGTAAATGAAATGTGTCTATTTTCCAGATGGCTGATGAAAAATCATCTGAACTATAAAATTATGGATTTTAACTAATGCACACAGCTCAGAAAGTTTCAAACAAAAATCCACACACACAAAAAAATTTATGTTCATTAAAGAATTTTTATATATTATAATATATTAAAAATTTTCCTCTCGCAGTGAGAGGTGGTCTTTATCCTTCAATTCGGTGGATTTTTTTTTTTTATGTGTGTGGATTTTTCTTTGAGGAAGACGACAAAGCGGACAAAAAAAAAGATCTGAGATCTCTGTCCAGTAGAAAGCAGTCGCAGGAAAAGCAAAGACACAGTGTATGACCTTGAAGCTCTGGTAGACGACCCGAATTGAAGGATAAAGACCGCCTCTCACAGCGAGAGGAGAATTTTTATATATTATAATATATTAAAAAGCTTCCTCTCGCAGTGAGAGGCGGTCTTTATCCTTCAATTCGGGTCGTCTACCAGAGCTTCAAGGTCATACACTGTGTCTTTGCATTTCCTGCGACTGCTTTCTACTGGACAGAGATCTCAGATCTTTTTTTTGTCTGCTTTGTCGTCTTCCTCCCTCCACTATTGCCTTCACCCACACCCACATTTTCTTGAGTTCTTCTCTCAGCCTTTTGTATTTCTTAAGCTTCTCATGTTCCTTCTTCCTGATGTCGTTATCAGTCGGTATAGCTAAATCTATCACTACAGACGTCTTCCTCTACTTGTCCACCACTACTATGTCCGGTTTAATGGCCATCACCAGTTTATCTGTCTGTATCTGGAAGTTCCACAGGATCTTAGTTTGGTCATTCTCAACTACCCTAGACCTCTCCCATTTTGATGTGCCTGTACACTATGTCAGCCACTTGGTTATGGCGTTCCATGTATGCCTTGCCTGCTATCATCTTGTACCCTGCTGTTATGTGCTGGATTGTCTCAGGGGCATCTTTACACAGCCTGCACCTGGGGTCTTGCCTGGTGTGATAGACCCCAGCCTCTATGGATCTTGTACTCAGAGCTTGTTCTTGTGCTGCCATGATTAGTGCCTCTGCGCTGTCTTTCAGTCCACCTTTGTCCAGCCACTGGTAGGATTTCTGGATGCCAGCCACTCCCTCTGCAACGGGGACAGGGCCTTTCCTTGGTAGATCCCGCACTTGATGGTAAATTGTACAATTAGCTTAAAGCTGGCATTTGTTTGCCACGTCTCATTGAGTTCCTGATGAAAGCTTTTAGGGTCCTGTGATCTTGTATACACTGAATAGAAGTGGACTACTGGAACAAGAAGGCTTAAATGAGGAAGAGTTGAGAACAGGAATATATATCATATTTTCCAGTCTATTG